AGGCTACAGTCTCCATCTAGAAGACGGTAGCTCCTGGTTCCAAACATAGCTTCCCCTCAGCTGCCTTGAACCCCTCAGGTCCCTGAGCTGCTCCGCCTTGCCTCTGAACACCCAGCTCTGTCCAGCCAGGGAGATCTTGTAAAACATCCATCATAAGAACATTTGAATGATGCGCTCATGTTAAAATTTCAAAAGGCACAAGGGAGTACAAAGTAGTATGACGACCTCTTCTGTTTCAGCCGTTCGTTCAGTCGTGGCACGCACAGCCATTACCAATGTTTTTGTGTCCTTCCAGAAAAATGGTTTTTTGAAAGAACGCACACACATAGTGATACATACTCATTTTCCTTTATAAGAACATATGGATGCTTTCTTAATTATCTAGTCCTTCGATAACATTGATAACACAAGTATATGGCTTTAACACATTCATTCTCAGGGGAGCTCTGGTGGCCTAGTGGTAAGGAGCTGCAACTACAATCCCAGAGGCTCACGGTTCGAATCCACCAGATGCTCTGCCGAGGAAGGAGGGACAATCTCCTCCTGTACCAGTCAGATCTGATTTGACGGTACACTCACACAAAAACAATAAAATAAAATTAAAAAAAAAAACAACACATTCATTCTCTTACAGGACACTAGAAGTAAAACTTCAGGGTACAAGTTCTAGGGAATACCCAGTTCTGGAGGGTCCTTGTTTCCTTAAGCATCCAAGGGTTCCCTGGAGATACCCACATATATTGTCCTTCCCAACTGTCAAAGAGCTTCCTCCCACAGAAACCAAAGCCCCAGAGGATACACTCTGCTCCTGGCAGGTCTTTCTAAGTTGGTACTGGAGTCTCACCATCCTTTGCCTTTCTCTCTAGAGAGAGACAAGGGATAAAGAGCCACATAGGAAGGATACTCCCCTTCCATCCGATTAGGGCTGTGGCAGGACTCAAGAGCCCTGCAGTGCACCCTGAACCCTTTATAACTATTGGGTTTATAGGAGCATGCATGGGGAATCTTTACATAGCTGGCACGTTATCACATTCAAGTATTTTAGAGGTTCACGATTCAGTCTCCAACAGATTCTTAGCCTCCATGTAGCCCTTGCCTGTTGCTTTTCAGGCACTGTCTAGCTTCAGTATGCAGCCGTGAGCATCCACTCTTTTTGTACAGCTACATGTGGTTTATTTTAGGTGCTGTCAAGTTGACTACCCTTCAGAAAGAGCAATTTCATTCACCTTGGTCCTATCGAGAGAGCCCTAGCTTTACACACAGCTCATTAAGGGATGGCTCTATCCTATTAGTCATCACATCCTCAGTGAAGCCTGCAGGAAAAAGCCCCTGTCACTGCCCATGTTACCACTGCACCTCTTGGATATATCAGATGACAGACACCTGAACATAGTAACACTTTGTACTGCCAGTGAGTAGATCTCTGTGTGTCCACAAGGTTTGCTCTCTGAATGAACACTGTCCTCACTGGCCCAGTCATTATCAGCCAACATCTTCATGTTCCCTAGGATGTCGGAGGAGCTAGCCTAACCGCACAAGCACCGCACTGACAGGGAGGTGAGCAGAAACTCACGGCCAAAGACCTCTGTCACGGCTCCAGAACCCCACTGGCTGGCGCCTGCTGACAGGCCCCTAGGAGCCATGCCTGTTGATCGGGACACACAGGTGTTGGTGCAGTATCAGGTGGCCGCTGTGACGGACGCAGCAGTGTTCAGCCAGTACAGCCTCGTGCTTCACACCCAGAAGACCCACATGGCGGAGAGGCCATCTGTGTGCTGAGTATGACTGCAGCTCACAGCTGTTGCACGGCCACCTCGTGCATACTGAGGAATGGCCATTAAGAGTGCATCAGCTGCAGCCAGGGCTTCGTGCTCCAGGAGGAACATGGGTGTGTGTACATGTGGGCGAGCAGCCCTTTAGTTGCACTGACTGCCTGAGCTTCCAGAGTGATTAAAGCTGCTGTGATACCAGAGCACCCAGTGTGACCCTCAGGCTCCAGGCGTCCTGGCTCCTGGCCCAGCGTCCCTGTCCCTGCAGTGAGAACTGGAAGAGCTTTGTACAATGTGCCACACTGCTGGACAAGGGCGATAAGAACTTCAGCTGTATGGACTGTGGCGGGCACTCTGGCCACCGCTCAGTCTTGGTCCAGCACCTGTGCACCCCTTCCCAGCACCCAGAGCTCAATCAGCACTCCAACCTCACCCAGCACGTGCACATCCACACCTACGAGAAGTCCTTCACTTGCTAGGACTACGGCCAACACTTCCACTAGAGTACCCAGTACATCCAGCACCACTGTGTTCCACGGGCAGAGCGGCCTGGCCTGGAAAGCACGGCTCCCCTTGTTGTGCCTCACTTGCTCCTCTGTCCAGAGACTGGACATCTACCTCACAAGACTGTGAAGTGTCACATAAATACAGAGATGCAAGCAGGCCAGCCCAGGGCCTGGCCACTGGAGGTGCTCAATAAAATAAAAAAAGGAATCAGTTCTTCACCACCACAGTCCCTGCCTTTTGACCCTCATGGCTCCAGAGAGGGTTATGGCCCCTTGAAGTGGTTCCTGCCCCAATTCCTGGGGTCTCCCTGCTACCATGACCTCACCTGCACATTCCATTCAAGCCCTTCAGTGGATGTGACCCATAGTGACCCTCTGCTGAGTTTCTAAGGCTGTGAATCTTTACCAAAGAATTCTGCCCATCTTGCTATCACTGATCTGGTTGGTGGGTCCAAACTGCTAACGTTCTGGGTAGCAATCAGACCCTACAGCAACCAAAGATCTGTCCCCGACCCACAGGGAAGGAAAGGCAACCTGTGTGCACCTGCTGGTCACGTGGTTAAAGTACACAGTGCTAAACAAAAAGTCAAACCCACCAACAGCTGCAGGGGAGAGATGGACAGTCCTGGAAATCGTAGGGGCCAGTTCTATCTTTCCTATAGGGTTTTATGAGTTGGAATCAAGTGGGGTTACAGCTCTGGCTGGAAGCCGGCATGTGTCAAAGATGTTGCCATTTCTGTTACCTCATCTTTCTCCCGCAGAATGACTAGTAGGTTCGAACCACCAATCTGTCCATTTATTGTCCAGGTACTGTCACTTTTTGTCATCCATCAGGATACAGCTGGAAGACAAAGCCACAGTAAATGTTTTAACAGTGAATTTCATATGACAATTGCCAACTAGGTGTTATTGATGGCTAACAAAAAAAGCATTTAAAAAAGTACAAAATGAAAAAGTAAACAGCCTATTGTGAAAGTTGATACCGCACAGAGTGGCAAAGCTCTTCGGGCTGGAGGAACAAAGGGAAATACTGTAACATAGAAGTTTTAATGAGTTTCTCAAGAAGTTCAAACTCAGGACCCTGAGACCACCAATCACCTCTTGGGCCTGAACAAGACCAATGAACAAAAGGCGGGGGTCTAGATGGTGTGGAAAGAACTTGATTGCAGCTGATATACCTGAAAAGACCTGCAATGATGCAAGGAAAGCCACACTGCTGGCTGCCAGACAGTGGGAATGGAATCCCTTCTCCTTTTCCATCCCCTGTAGGACCCAGACTCTACTGATGAGCGCTGCCCGAGAGGAGTGTGTGTCTGACATTCTAGCCTCATACTGTGATGCTGAGGCAGACAGGTATGGAGCATAGAGGCGGGGCTGATGCTAAGGGACACTGAACCAGGTCCAGCCACCCTGACCTTATCTAGAAAGGATGGGTGGGTAATAAAACAGACAACTGAGGCCAAAGGCACAGGTAGAGGTACCAGTCTAGAAAGGGGAAGGACGGTGAGCTGTAATTGGACAGGGTGACCACCACCTTGCCCCGCCCCCGAAAGCAAAGGCCGCCTAAGCTGGCAGCAAGCCTGTGCTGGAAATGTCCCGCTCCGCCTGCCTCACCTAGACGTCCAGTCCGCTTTGGAGTCTTCCCTGACCTTTGTGATAATCTCCACATCGCCTACAGCTTCCTATCGATTACAGCTTCCTACCAAAATGCACATTTCGTTAGCTGACCTCCACCAAAATCTCCAGATTTAGGTAGAAGGCGGGTGTCTCTGGGTTTGCTACGGAACCCTAACAGCGGTCGGCCCTTCACTTTGTTGGCAGCTGCCCTGGCGGGAGCAATCACATCGTCTCTGGATGTGACCTCCAGGAACCGAGGGGTCATCTCGCTCACATTTGCTGCTTTCTGCAGGTGTGCAAATGCAGATGCTCTAGGCCAGCGTACAAGTGAGGAGAGTGCCGCACCGCCAATGGGAGAATCTGCCCCACGCAAAGAGCATCCAACCAACTGTCTACGGCGACGCGGGCCTCGTTTACACGGCTCTTTGAACGGAAACACCCGAGTCCAGCCGAAGAAGCCCGAATGGCAAGTCCCATCACAGACCAACGCAATTCAGCCGGGACGGCGGCTGCGCAGGCGCAGAGCAAGGACCGGGCGGGAAGCGCAGAAGAGGGGAAGCGGCGGAAATACCCGAAGTGCTGGGGCGCCCGAGGCCGTTGCCAACCTCCGCTTCCAACTCGCTGCTGCCGCCGGAGCCGAGCCTCCGAGCACGTCCGCCCGTACCGCGGCGGCCGCCTCCTCCCTCCACCCTGAGCCCCCAGACCTCTCTCGAGAGGAGCGAGCGAGCAGCGCGGCCCGGCCGACAGAGCATCCCGTCTTCAGCCGCAGCCAAGCCTAAGGAGAGCGGCGCGGCCGAGGGGGAGGAGGAAGCGGCCCTGCGTGGGCGGGGCCGAGCGCGGCCCGAAGACAGCCGAGTCCACCCGAGCGGAGCCGACTGGGCCCGAGCGCCTCCGAGGAGGCTGAGCAGGCCAGAGCCGGACTACGGGAGCCGAGGCGGGCCGCGCGGTGGGCGCGGAGCGGCGCGGCGAGCCGGGCAGGCGG